AGAACGATTTTTAAGTTTGTAAGAAATTATAAAGACAAATATGCCCCTCTTCAAACCCATAAACGGGTTGTAGATCCATTTTCCAGCCAAAAGTTGCAGTAGGGTGCAAAGTGCCAAGAAAATACTAATTAAAGGGTGCAAAGTGCAATTTTGTTAATCTAAGGGTGCAAAGTGCCAAAGGCATGTAATTCGAGGGTGCAAAGTGCCAATTACTCTAAAAATTTATAGAGGTATTCGATTTACATCATCGATATGTTTTAGTTCGTTGATTTAATTCATTTTGATCATAGAATTGATCCCCGTGCATCGCACGGGTGAGGTACTAGTTTCATTATAATATACAAATTATTTTACCTCAAAATTTTCTTTCCAAACCAAACCTACTATTATTTTAAAAAACAAAATTATGCTCTGATCAAATTTAAATATTTTTTTATTAAAATATTTAGAATCTAACAAAATTATTTTCAATTTAAAAATAGTTAAAGCACAAATATGAATTTAAAAATAAAAATTAAACCAAGCAGCTACTACTGGGAAATTTCCATGACAATTTCCCCGGTAGAAAAAAATTAAACAAGTCACTGTCACTTTAATTACACTTTTCTTATAATTCCCACAGAAACTTCCTCCAGTGTCGTTTTCGACAAGACTTCTCCCTATATAAAACCGTAACACAATCCATCTTACTTCATAAAAAAAATTATCTTCATATAATTATAGTCACACTTATAAATTCACTTCTATTACTATAAAACCCCTCAAAAAAATCAAGAAAGCCAAAAAAACCCATATATACATATAAATGGATTCAAATATATCATCAGCTGGGCTCATCAACATAGTTAACAAGGCAGCAAATCTTGTTTCTTTAATCTTGTGGTGCATATTTCACAGCTGGATAATCGCATTCCTAGATGTATACTATTTTTTCCGTCGAATATTCCAATTATTTTCCTATGTCTTCCTCGGCGCGTGGAAGAGCGCCACGTGTCATTTTCCCAGAAAGACGGCCGGCGATGAAAAAATCGTTGTTTTGACGGTACGACCACCGTGTGTTGCCGTGAGTAGACAAGATGTTCAAATAGTGATGGAGAATTTGGGATTGGAGGGTTCGACGACATTTGGCGAGATTGCAATTAATATGTTCGATGAGAGAGAAGCGAGTTTGGATGAAGTGAGAGAAGCATTTGGGTTGTTTGACGAGAACAATGACGGGTACATCGACGCGGACGAGTTGAACAGAGTGATTAGTTCGATAGGTTTGACGGGATTTTCTCAAAGACACTGCAAGAGTATGATAATGGCTTTTGATGAGAATTGTGATGGAAGGATTGATTTTGGAGAGTTTGTGAAGATTTTGGAGGAATGTTCTTGCTAATCAATATGGAATATTCTCCATTATGATATTGATATTGCAATAATCAAGTGTCATCTTTTTATTTTTATTTTGATTTTGGTGTTCTTAGTTCCTATGGCCGTGAGCTTGTTTGTGACTCATCTTCTCCTTGAAGTGACATCTCCAATCACCTTTCCAAATAATCGGTTTCGTAAAGGGATGGGACTGAAAATTGATTTCCATATTTTTTCCCGACTGTCGTACTAAAGACAAATGATCTAGAAAATATAATGTCAACAAGGAGAACCAAATTCGAATCGTTAGACGCCCAAACTCCTATTCCACCAACTAAGTTGTTCTTGTGGCAATAAGAATACATAAATAACAAACTAACAATCAATTATCACAATAATGAATATTCTCAAGAAAAAAAAATGAAAATGTTATTCCAAATTATTTTAGCGATATCTGCAAAATATCTATTTCAAATGCGAGTTTGTTACGATGTTGCAATGGAACTTAAACTATATTATTAGTTTCATGGTGATCAGAGGATACATTGATCACTTAATGTATGTCTCCATTACTATTTTCCTAAATAAATTCGCTACATTATTTTGGTTACCGGTCGAAGACGTTGCAAATCAAGATTATAAACTAATGCTATATTATAGAAATTATCTTCGAAAATACAGAGATTATATATTTTTTTCGGATGACTCAGAATAGAGATTGTAAAATACATTGTATAATGATATGATGTTATTCAAAGAATCGAACAAATTTATTATTTGAATTTATAATTTCTCAGTTTATAAAACACGAAAAAAAAATCTAAAAACACGAGGAGAACGTAACATTAAAAGGTACTAACATACTGTCCGAAAATCGGAATGAAAGATTGCTGGTTAAAAAAAGTTTTAAGCGTTTTTTCTTAAGACAGCAATAGTTGCTGCGAATCGATTTAATTAAACGCATTCGATTTTCCTGTACATTAAAAGAACTTGCCATGTTTACAAAATCCAGCCCCATCAAATCTCAGTCCAAAACACATTACATGAAAAAAGAACACCATTAATATATATATATATAGATTTTGAACTTAAATTAATTAATTCTTGAATGTCTGGATAATAGTGTTGTGCCATGGGTCAGAAAGATGCTGCAACAGGTTATCGAATGCACCCTTTCCGGTCACATTGTGCTGCACAACGAATCCCAAGAACGCCAACATCGCCAGTCTTCCTGCAATCACAATCGAATCGTAAAATCGTAAGATTTCACGTATCTTGTAAAATTAAATTACCATATATTTCACACTATATAAAACATAAATAAAAATAAATTTTACTGCATCGCATTCAGTACCCCTATATTATATATATATATATATAGCGGATTTTTTTAGGTGGCAGTTTGCTGGTAAAATTTGATCATAGGGGAGTTTTTGCTAATATTTATGACACAAACATTTTTTTAAAAACAATTCGGTATAATACAGGGGTGCTTAATGCAATAAACTCTAAATAAAACAGATAGTTTCGAAGGTAAAATCTTTACCGTTAGCGATTTCTTTCTCCTTGGCCTCCTGAGTGGGGGCGAAGTTGAGGGGGTTGAAGATGCCACCGGGGTAGCCGACCTCGTTGGGAGGCAAGCTATAGCTCTTGAAAATGGGGTCTTGGTTGACGCTTCCAGGGTTTTTGATGTCTTGCCACCTTCGGATCTCGACGTAGTGGAAAAGAATGAACTCGATCACGAACAGAGTGGATGACGAGGCGAAGTACTCGGATTTTCCTGCGTCGTACCATTTGGGAACGTTGATTAGGCCGATGGATGTCAGAACCTCCGGTAGCAACATTCCGGCGACTCCCAACATTGCCCACCGGCCGTTGACTAGCTCGGCCTGGACGAACCATTTCAGGTTCTCCGGGTCCTCGGCTAGACCCAATGGGTCGAATCCATTGTCTCCGGGTAGACTGATCAATAACACACAAATAATAATCACAAATTAGTACATATGAAAATTATTTAAATGCAAGGAATTTTTAGAATATGATCTCTAATTATATTGTGGTCTAAATATTTTTCTTCTTTTTTAATTAATGTCGAGTAATTAGTAAAATTTGAAAGTCCACGTAATTTTCGTTACATTTTGCAAGTACAAGAAACTACCCACATGACTACCATTATCTACACATTACCTCGAACTAGGAAGAATCATCATTTTTTTATTAGTGCAATTACTAAAATACCCCTATACAATTTAAAAAGTAGTTATCGAGTATACTTTAAGCTATCAAAATTTATGAATTTTTTGGTACATTATATGAAGAATGCCCATGTAAATTACAAAAATACCTCTATAATTTTTTTTAAAACTTATCTAATTCAACCGTCGAACGTAAATATCCGTACAGTAGAATCTTGATAAATTAATAACCTCGCTTAAATAATAGAATAATGCGACAAACCTGCCAGCGAGATAGTTGGGAGAGGCCAAACCAGGTAGCCATTCGCCTTTCTTGGCTTCGACTTTGAACGATTTGTAGTTCGAAGCCGCCTGTCTAACGAACACTTCTCTGTTCAATTTTCCAAAAGACGATCCCGCCAAAAATTGGGTTTTCGTCGCGCACGGCCGGAAAACGGTGACGGAGGCCTGTGTGGTGACGGCGGCCATTTCTTCCGATTTGGACTGGAATAATTTGCTGGTGGATTGGTTTGGTTTGGTTTGATTTTCCGGGGTAGAAATGAATCTATAGTGTGTGCATTTCTATTTGATTTTAATGGTGCATTTGTGGCGCTGGTTGGAGCTTGAAATCTGGCCGTTGGATTGTGAGATTTTGGGATCCGACGGCTGTTGTTTGATTGTGAATTTTGGCGTGGCCAATGGGAATCCAGTGCTCTTATCTTTAATCTGTGTTGGCATATCCATAAATCTATTTCTTTGCTGCTGTTGGCGTTTTCAGATCATTGTGGGACCCATTTTTTCAATTTTCATCTGGCAAAGATGTTGCCTGTGTTGAGTATTTATTGGACCAATGGGTTCTTGACACCTGTTCAGTTTGAAGCTTATGTGGATAATTTTATCAATTCTTGCATTGTTTCATTTTTATTTTATTTTTTTTCTTCTTCCTGATTTTTTCGCCGGTTTCCGGCGTTGACTTTTTCGATTTTTTTGTTTTTTTTGTTTTTTTCTGTAACTTTTTTTTTTCGTTTAAACAACAATATTGTTGTGATTGACAGTAATATTAACTATCTTACTGTTAAACACAGTAAAATTAACTAAACTACAGTTTAACACAGTAATATTGCTATATTAATCTATAGCACAATAATATTAACACAACAAAACTCATTATTGTTGTGTAATAGAGTAATATTACTATGTTGACCGTTCAACAAATGTAAACATAATAAAAAACCAAAAGAATTAATATTACTGTGAGTGACAGTAATATTATTATAACAACAGTAATATTACGGTCAACCACATTAATATTACGTTACTCCGTGAATAACTCAAACAAACAAAAAATCCAAACAAAATAATAATATTGATGTGGTTGACAGCAATATTACTATAACAACAGTAATATTACCGTCAACCACAGTAATATTATTGTGTTTACAGTAATATTACAATAATAAACAGTAATATTATTACGTTACTCCGTAAATAACTCAAACAAAACAAAAAACCCAAAAAAATAATAATATTGATGTTGTTGACAATAATATTATTGTGTTTACAGTTATTTTACTGTCAACGGCAGTAATATAATTACGTTGACTTGTCAACAAATCAAACAAAAAAAAAAAAACAACAAAAATAAATAAATAATAATATTACATTAATTTACTGTCAAAGGCAGCACAATTACATAAATGTATTGTCAACGGTAGTACAATTACGTTAATTAACTGTCATTGACAGTATAATTACGTTAATTTACTGTCAGTGACAGCACAATTACGGTCAACGTTTAGCGGCGGACGTAAAAAAAAAAAAAAAAAAAACCAAGGAAAAAAAAATTAAAAAAACACTATAAAAAGTCAACGCTGGAGACCGCCGGAAACCGGCGAAAAAATTCGGAAGAAAAGAAAAGAAAAAAGCAAAAAAAAAAAAAAAAGTCAACGCCGGAAAGCGGCGAAAAAATCCGAAAGAAAAAAAAATTGAAAAGTCAACGCCGGAATCCGGCGGCAAAAAAAATTTAATTTTTTTTTTTGCAAACAGAAAGTTTTGGGTCAAAATTGAATAATTTGTGAAATTTGGGGTCAAATTGAGATTAAATTAAGTTAAGGATGAAATTTGAGCATATTAATATATGCTCCGAAAAAAGTCAAAATTGAAATTTTGTGGTCAAAATTGGATTTTTGTGGACAAAATTGATTAAATTGGGGTTACAATTAAGAATTGAGTATAAATGGTTGAGGGTAATATTGGCATATACATTAATGTTTTCTTTATTTATAATAAATATTAAAGGGATGAGCTTATTGGTGAAAGAGATATAGCCCATAAACCTAGAATAATAAACATGCTTGGTTGGGGACTTATTCACAAAAACCCTATAAAAATTTGTCAATCGGAATTTTAGATATTGGAATTAGAAAATTTTATTGCAAAATCGAAAATTGTTGAATCCTAGTCGACGGAGTTCGTAGTTACATTTTTTCAGTCAACTTTAATATCAAATAGATAATAATAATAATTAAATAATGGTGAATTTTTTTTTTTTGAAAATTTTATCTTATAAAATAACAGGTATAGGCAGTGGCGAGTTCAGGAATTCGGTACGGGAGGTTTCAATTTTCGGGGGTTCAGGGGCAGCGCCCCCGAGATGTTTTTAGGATTTTTTTGAAAATAGAAAAATGAGAAACGAAAAAAAAAAGAAAGAAAAAAAACAAATTTTAGAGTTTTTTTTTGTATTAATTTGGATTTTGGGTGGGCTAATTAATAAAATTTGGGACTTTTTTGTATTCATTTGAATTTTGGGTAGGTTAATTAATAAAATATGGGGCTTCTTTTGCATTAATTGAAATTTTGGGTGGGCTAGTTAATAAAATTTGGGTGGACTAAATAGAAATATAGTATAATATAGGGGGCAAATTAAAAAATGAGGGTGGGCTTGAGTCCACCCTTGCCCAACGGTGGACTCGCCCCTGGGTATAGCCTATAGGCATAGTTTGGTTGCGAAGATAAGATTAGTCAACACAAGATAATTCTCCCTTGAAATAATAGGCCTATATAGCCCCATTATTTTATAGGGAGAATTATCTTATGTTGGTTAATTTTACCTTAACAACCAAACGAGAAGTGTAATGCTTTGAGGGGGCGGTGATTCTTATATGTATCCTTTTGCGAATTACACTAGCGATGAATCTTATATATAAAAGAAATAAACGCTGGACAACCCAAAATAACCCTAATGATATTTCTGTAATTATTTATCTTTAATATTTTTCTCTATTAATTTCTAACTATAATTTTTAACAATTATCAAAATTAAAACTAACACGTGAAGTATCTACCTTATTGGTACTTATGTAATTATTTATTTTTAATACTTTTTCTTTACTATATTTAAACTGTAATTTTCAACAATTATTAATCTCCTGTTTTTCATCAATATATCTCAAATCTCAAGAGATAAAGCTAGAAATTCGATTTGTTAAACTTTAGTCTATTTATTTGCATTATAAATCTTAATATGAAAGATTTAAAAAAACTAATGTTATATAAAATATGAATAATACTACATTATTAAAGTTTACTAATTTAGTGTACTATATTTTCTTATTATGTATTAAATTGATTATTGTTTTTTTTCACTATTTAAATAATATCTCGTGCATCGCACGGGGGAAAAATGCAGTTATTATAAACAAACTTATACATCCTTAGTAGCTAAACAGATGATATGGGTTAAATTTATCAAATTTCTTGAATTTTTTTTTTAATCATTATTTTGTTATTGATGAATTAAAATCAACATAAAATTTATTTAATTCCTTGAAATACGTAGTTCACTTTATTTTATTTGTAAGAATAAAGTAAAAGAAAAAAAGAAAAGATATTGATTGGGGCTAGGCCCAAAGTAATTGCCGAAAGTCGGTCCAACAAGCAACTAAGTTCAATCATCTTTTTTAACAGACCAAGGAAAATTAGGTTTTGTGTTTTAAATCGCATATCGGATCTCGGGTTTAAATTTTTTGAATGACTTTTAATATTCCCATGTCGAACAAATAAAAAGTCAAAATAAGTAATTCAATATTCTATAGGGACATACATGCAAATTTCTACAGGGACATATTTGCAAATCTCAAACCCTAGATACAGCCCCCGCTCGAAAGCTGCCGCACACACACATATATATATATATATACAGCATATCACGCCCCATTTGCAGCCACCAACAACAACGAAGCTTACGGTTTGAGATGAAACCCTAACCTCGTATTCTTCCATTTGGTAGATCACTTCGATTCTCGTAGGTTTCAATTTCAGTTTTATTAAAAAAAAAAAATTCTTATTATGTATCTGTGATCTGATTTATTTATGCAAATTTGTTTTTTTTTTTTTTTTTTATTGTTTTTGAGCAATTAGTGATTTATTTCTGCCGGTGATGGTGTTAAATATACTTTGAGTGATAAACTATGAAAAGAATATTCAGCTGAGGCTTCCATGAAATTCATTTTTTTTTTTTTTTTTAAAGTTTAATTAATTAGTTAATTATTTTTTTTAATTTAATTGTTGGAATATTAGCAGATGATGATAAAACAGACAGGGACATCAGAACTCCTTTAATGGTGTAAATGATGACTTAGTCTAATGGGAATCTCTCAGATGCTATTCTCAATTTATTTATTTTCTTTAATTTTTATTTTTTTGTAATACGGTTTTTTATTTTATTTTAATTTTTTTTTTGTCTTTTTGAATAAATTCGCCAGTGATGCATAAATCGTGTAAATATGATTTAATTATATGATTAATTACGAATATGAATCATCGCAGCTGAGGCAGCGAAAAACTTTATTTTCCTGTTTATTTATTTATTTTTTATTTAAATTCACTCGAATTTGAAAATCTTATATAATAAATTGTTTTCTTTGATTTTGTTTATTCATTTTGATTGAATTCCAGCATCGATTTTGGTGCCAGTGATGTATTAGCTATTTCATTATTATCAGAAATAAAATATATGTTGATGATACATGTTATTGTCACTACCTCTGAGGCTAATTGTCGATGCTGGAATAATTAAATTTTATTTTTAACAATAAATTTGGCGTTATTTATTAATTTATTATTAATCGTTGATTTACAAATAATCACACACACCCATGAATATGTGTGTTTTGTGGAAAGTTATTTCACGGGGTGTAGGATCTCGATAACATTATTTTGGCACTTTGGGGTATGCCTGATGATTACTTGTAAAGAACGGAGATTTGAATTTTGCAATTTGTTGAAGCCTGGTAATATTTATTACTAACCTTGGCTCTAAATTGCATTCATGTAATTAACAACTTTTTCTGTCTAAATGAAGGCATTTCTCTAATAAAGTTGTCTCTAAAGGTATATTTATATATCATAATTTTCAATTCTAAATATATCATTTTTGTTGTCTAATTTTAATTTGTTATTACATGAATTGTGTTGATCTGTTAAAATGGCTTAATATGATTCATGAAGAGAAAAAGTGACTTAGGACTGAGTAGTTTGTTTTGTGAAGTTAGGTTGGATTGATTAAATA